ACTACTCAACATTTAAAATTCCCAGTAATTTTCAAGTGCCGGGAAAAACAAAAAAAAAAATTAAGAAGAAAAAATCCGTTTTTGAGGAAATCGATTTTGGTTTTTGGTATAACTAAAAAAGGTAGGTACCTACATGACATTTTCACTGAATATTTTTTGATGTTTTTCAGCTTTACAGCTTTATAGTGAATTAACGATTGGAGATAAAGTTCGGAAAATCCCTTTTTAATGAATTGTCAACCAACTTTCTAGCTAGGTATCATAGTTTAGGAGAAAAGTTAGAAAATAGAAATTTTGGGACTGTTCACGTCAATGTTTTTGTGGATTCAAGTGGTTATACCGCTTAGGTGATATCAAATCTCTCTCATTAATATTTTATATTAAAGCTAGCTAAATTACCACTTACTCATCATTACTGCAGAGTTACATTTTTATTATTTTCCTATTTAACACAAATTCTTGAAGTTTTCAAAATTCAGACTTTTTTCATTTCAATTACCATACTTACTTGATTGAAAATCAATCTCTCATTCTCTATCAATAAAATAAATTGTAGATTATTGTACTTTGTACAGTACCTAACAGTTTAATATTTTTAATTTTTTATATATTATTATTATAATGACAAAGTTCAGCTAAAAATCACTTAGCTATTCTGAGAATTGAAAAATGATTTAATGCTTTTAAAAGCCTTTGCATCTAAAAGTAGTAAATATTTTATTATTTTTGTTTCAAATTTGTTCAGCTCCTCCTTTTCGTTTTTTACTACAGTCTGATCCATCCATTTCCATTTTATTTTATAATTCGCAACTATTACTATTGTAATATAAAATATTTTATGAGTTATTCCTAGTTAAGTACTTGGTAATTTAGTTGTAAAATTAACCAAATTGTGCTGAACTGCACAATTTTAGATTCTGAGCGGAGCAAGGAAGCTAGTGGTTTTACAATGGTGTTTATTTTTTTATTTTTTTTTTTTATATCCTGTATACAAAATTTCTACCAGAAGGAGTGCTTTGATTTCAACATATAGTATACCTTATCTTTTAGCAAATTGGACCAAGATGGTACTTTAGAGAGGTCATTTTTCGATTTTCTCAATAGTTATTTAATGCCACGGGAAAAAGTACTGAAAAACCGCTTAAAATGGGATTTTAATTTCTAACAATTTGTTAATCACCGTAGCAACGAATAAAAAAAAAATAGGTAGGTATTATCTATATATAAATATCATAAATTATTAACATGTATCATTAACTTATGAGTCAGTACCGACTTATCATAGAACCGCGGGTGATTAGGTTCATGGTAGGAAATAGTATAAAATTAATAATAATTAATGACAATATAAAATATACAGACTGACAAACTGTCTCCGTTCAGAATCGTTTTTCTCATACAATGATATTATATCATTGAATTCAAGTTTAATACAATCCATTAAACAATGACCAACATGTAACCTACTGTACAGCTGAGCGACATCCACTTACCTGCCTTTTTTTAATTTTATTTGTTAATCGTTTATTTGTAATCTAAGATAACCCATGGACCTCCACACGAGTTTTCCTCAGTGAGGCCCAGTAATCTTTCGATATTAATTTAAATAAAAATAAATAAAAATAAAAAAATATTCATTTATTAATAGAATATTCTTCAATTTATTTTATATAACTAGATACTACCTATATTATTATGATCTATTATTTTAAATAAGAAAAACTATTTCTAAATATAAAGCAAATTTTTCATTTATTTCCTATTTAATCTTTATGTACAGAATGTCTCATTGATTATCCATTGCGATATCTCCTGAGATAATAAATATATCATAAATCTATTTTAGATTCTGAGAGGAGCAATGAATGTATTTATTTTACAAAGTGTTTAAAACTAAAATACAGAACACAGGAACGTAGAGTACGAGCCTATACAATATTTTCATTCACGGTCAGTCGAGTTAGAACCGCGAAGTAGAGACTATATTAGTCTGCGGACTAAAGGTCATATTATATAAACATGTTAGTCATGTTACATCATAATAAAGCAATATTGTTTCAACTCGTACTCAGCTACTCATGTGATCTTCAATTAACTATCAACAATAGGTTTACTCAGGTTTAGTGTACTGTATAATAATATAACTATTTTAGACATTTAATAAACTATTGTATACGATTGTACCCAAATCAACACCCCCCCCCCCCCCCGTATGCACCTGTATTTATCCCTCTTTTTCATAACACAACTATCTAAATATTTGGAACTATATTGTTTCAATTTGTAAACAACTTTTTAAAATTATAAATTATAAAATAGTAAAACAAAAGTACATTTTTTAGGAACAGACTGAAATTCATATTTTGACGACTGGATATTCCGACGTAAATAACGATTTCTGATATTTTGTTGTAATTATAATAATATTAGTTTTTCTTGAAATTTGAAACATTTTAATATTATATCGTTGTTTTGTCGATGTCTTCTAATATTCTCGTATTTGACTTTGTGCAAAATATCGGCATTCGGATACACAGTGGCGGCTCGTGGGTGCTGGTGGTGGGGGTATGACTTTAAATAAAATAGCAGTAGTCATAGGTATAACAAATTATTTAAATATACGAAAATGTACATCTTAGTATCTTACTAGTCGCAGGTCGCAGTAGAAAATGGAAATTAAAATAATAATAATATCGTTTAGCAACCGACAACGCTGTTAATTTTACCCAAAAAATTACCCAATATAGTAATATATAAATATTTTACTGCACGGACGACGTTGTCGGTCGTCCATACGCCATACCCATATATTATAAGTATTTATGACATCGCAGCGTACCCATGTTGCGCATCGCTTATAACTTATAAGTTATTCCATACGAATTCTGAATATCGCTTGTACCGATGCTGCCGGTCGTCCAATATCCGTATATAAGAACACAGCTTAAACCTACCCGCACGAACACGATTGCAGCACCTCGCTTATACATGCGTATTTAGAATATTGCTCGTGTGTACATGCGTACCATATGCTCCCTGGTATCTGATAGAAAAAACTTTAATGTTGGCACACGATTAAATGGAAAGCCCGGTCCAGACCAAGAACCATTTGTAGGAAACATATATGTTTCTGACATTGTCGTCGACAAATATTTATGTTACCACTTATGAGCGGAAATCGGAAACATTATCGATGACAATGTTGGAAACACTTGTTTCCGACAAAATTTTCTTTGGTGTGGACGGTGCTTAATAGACAAATGTAGGTAGTAACTAGGTATATAGTGGGTAATTTATAACAATTTTACTATTTAAAAATTTGCAATATTTTTAAAAAATGTAAAATTAGGAATATTATACAATTAATTTTCTTAATTTTCCTAATTTTAGTAGGGGGTACGATCGTCGTCCAAACCACGAGCCGCAACTGCGGATACATCATACTAAAATTATTATTTATGATAAATATTTAAAACACTGCAGTTATGTACCTATTTTGCCTATACAATACGCCGTGCAACACTTTGTTTTCGTGGACAAGAGTTATTAATTATTATTAATAGTATTATATTAAGTCAGGGGCGAACGCAGGAAAAAATTTCGGGGGGGGGGGGCTTTGAAAAAATTTAAAGTAGGTATTCATAAATACCCATATTGCAATTTATTAATTTTGTTTTTTCAGTGTTTATGAACGGATATTATCAGCAGACGTCTGCAGCGTGCGTATACGCATGTTAAATTCAAAATAATTGTATAGGTAATATATATAATTATTAGCTGTATATTATATAATACTCGACGGGGACCCACGACTGCTCTTAGATAATATATTAGCGTAGTAAATATCACGTCGAATTGTGCGCGTCAAATAAACATTGGAACAATTTCGTTCGATTGTAAATCGTATTTTTAAATATAATATATTAATTATTATTATGTGTTATTATCGTGTGTTTGAGCGATAAAGTAGGATCCTGACAGGAAAAACGTATATAATAATATTCGCCTTACAAGGCTACCGGGCAACCGTATTCTACCAACGACACGATTTGTTAACATTTCCTTTGCCAACATTTGTGCGGTCATCGTTTTAAATTTTATCGTATAATGCAAAATGTTATTATAAAATTATATCATATTATATACGGAAAAGGACAAAATATTTATGGCGTTTACTCTAAACTATAGTATATAATATATAATATAGATTAGTAATAAACTGCACTCGGTAGTCGGTTCAAATGTACACATAAATAATATAATAACAGTTATATTTATACGACCGGAGCATGCTAAAACGCCATACATTTATTTAGCGATAAATAATTATATTTTAATACATATTATTATATATTTTTTTTTTATTTTATTATAATTTTTACGTTTCATATAAAATGAATTTAAATTATGCGTATATACCCATATATATTATAAATACGTTCTGGACAAAATATTCCTCTGCTGAGATGATGTACGATAATAATAAGTCATAACTCACTTACAAATTAAAGTATCGTAAAAAACCTACGGGAGAACACAGATAATATTGTTAGGTACTTAAAAGTTAAAAGTTTGATAATAGGTCAATTCACTCTAATATGAGTTGTTAACAATAATAATAAATAATAATAAATAATAATCATCGTAAATATTGGTTTATTAGGTATATTAACTGTCGTTTGATTACAATACAGTACAAATGAACAATCATATCACGGATTATGTTTTTTATTTTAATTGAGTATCTACCATCAAATTATTTAAATTTCATTTATCTATTTTAATCGAATATTATTAAAGCATAAAATTATCCAACATAATATTTAATAAGTAGGTAGATGGTACTACGGTAACTGCGGGTATACCTAAGAGGTACCTATATGGCTGCGCAGCATGTATATAGCATATATTATATTATAACTGTTCGTAAGTTCGTATTATATAACTTCCGGAATCCGGGCTTAAGGTGCTGCTGGGTGATGGATGATGCGCGGCGTAGATCACTCGAGCTTGTTTAGGAACGGTGCCACGGAATCGATGTTCTCGCAGTCCGGTATCATCTTGCCCTCAAACTTGACGCATGCGTTAGCGCACAGTGTCCCCTCGAAGTAGGCGCCCAACATTTTCTTGCATTGCGCGCAGTTCCTGATGCACATGCCCACGTCCTCCATGTCCGCCACCGCATGACCGACAATCGCCATCAATGCCACCAGCGCGGTGAACAGGAGGACGATTTTCTTGGATGTGCAGGTGTTCATCTTTTAAGTTTACCTGTAAATCACACCAAGGACTTATGTATAATATCATCGAAAACACTAAACGTAGGATATCTGAAACCAGTTCATAGGTAAATCTTATAACATACTTTTGCGGTAGCTGTATATAACTTCTTCCTGTCGTAGACCCTTTGGACGACACAATACGCACTGACCATAACGGCAACGGTCTCGTTGGTTTTATGCACCGACGCTAATAAAAATTATTCGAATTTGTCGTATACAAATACAATATAGTCATCGACGGCGTATGCATTGTATTAAACTAAATTATATTAGGTAGGTACGAGTTATATTGGCGCAGCGGGCGCAAACTTCCCACCGACACGGGTTCGTGTTATGTAATACAATTTTATATTCGTCGTAGTTCGGCATGCGAGCAGAGATACAGATTGTATATACGAAACAATTGTAGATTTTATCGAAAAACAAAAATGCAGAAAACAAATTTGGTTTTAGTGATAATCATATTATAATTATATAGATATACACGATATACTAGATATCCCGACAGACGTTACCACAGCGTTCCCAAAGTTTTGTTTTTTTTTTTATAAATAGATTTGTAAAAAATGTATAGGTATGCCATATTTGATATTTCGGTGCTAGTTCGGTATGCGCTCTACCGACAAGTTTCTGTTTCGGTATGCACTCTACCGAAAAGTGTCTGAGTCGGTATCTGCTCTACAGTCTACATAGGTTGTTTTGCCTGGGTTTTATTTTATATTTATATTTTTTATATTTTTTATAATATTTTATTGATGATTCTTTACAGACAAGTGTCTGAGTCGGTATGATCTACAGTCGTCATACGTCGTTTTATTTTATATTCATTCAAAAACGATTATTTACGATCTGAATGTCTTCTAACATGGCGAGAAAAAGTTCCGGACTGTCTGAAATGAGGAATAGGAACACCCTTCATTTTCTTCAATAATTTAATTTTCGCGTCCAACCATGACCTCTGAATGTTTTGAGTGTGGGCTGCTGTATTTGCATCGACATATATATGAGATTTGGTGATTTACCGTCTTGTGTAAAAAAACCTCGGCTTGTGAGACACCTATATGCAGCCCATTAATCGGAATGAATTTCTGATCCTGCCTGAGGCCTCGCATTCACGTTCAATTATTGGTAGAAATGTTTCTCGATCGCATCGATGAACATAAAAATAATGGCAATCATTTCCATTTTTTAAACCAAATACCCAGGGGCCATCTACCCTTGCACCGTGATTTCGGTTATTAATTACTTCAGTATATAATATATATAGTATAGATACAGCTCTTAACATATTATATAAAAACGAGGCAGATAACGCATAGGCTTATATACAGTAATTGCAGTTCAATATCCGTGTACCGAACGTAGACCGAGTGTAGAACGCAAAAACCGGTAGAGCGCATGCCGAATTAGCATCGATATTTCTACTAATTATTATAATAGTAATATAATATGTAACCAATGGTATCTATTTAAATAAAATAATATATATTCTTTTGTCGTGAGCTGAAAAAATTTCATATGTGAGTTACCCTTTAGCTACCAATAGGGGTTAAAAAATAAGCTGTAAGCACCCTCCCAGTCTAGAGAAATCTATTGTTATAACTTTTATTAAAAACGGCCCAGTAGTTTTTGAGTTTATTAACTTCGGATAAATCAACAACAATTTGCTGTATAAACCGACTTTACCAGTGAAAAATAAAAAAAAATATCAAACAAAACACTAAATAGGTAGGTTTAACTTGGTTTTAGTGTAGGCACCTAAGTTCGTGGACAAACCGGCGTCAGTACCTATATATATATATATACCTCGCTTTGTGAATAATTCAACCAAGATGAACGATTCGTATGTGACAGATTGGATATTATAATACTATTAGCACTATTGATATAAACCGAAAGTGGTTCAAACTATACTCCCTAAACTTTACTCTAAACTACTCTAAAAATACTACTTACAATTATTTTTTCTAACAAGTCCAGCAAATCAAATCCAAAATTCTCGACCTATATAGTATAATAACATAATCAGTGGCGTATTTTCAAATTTTTTGTGGGGGGGGTCTAAATATTAGGTACCTATAAGTTTATAATATAAAAAAAACACATACGAGTTATGATGTAATAATTATATTATATTATATTTTTTCTGGGGGGGTCGAGACCCGGGGACCCCCCCCCCCCCCGTAAATACGCCACTGAACATAATATTATGTTATTATATTATCCTTAGATCATATACGATATACCTACTATGGGGTTTCATAAATGGACCTATGTGCCGATAAATTAAGCACATATCTATAACATGTCTCTGTATTAGACGAATAAACTGCTCACGCTCAAAAGAAATGTCGCATAAAATTGTTTACATGATCGAAATGGGCTAAAATATCCATAGCGTAATATGATCGAAAGGTCAGGTGTTCCTACAAGTTCTCATGGGACACAGACTATAGTAAAAAAAAAAAAGTACCTACTAATAACTTTCAAAATTTAAAACATTCTCAGTACAATTTATATTTTTATACTTTATTTTGCACAATTTTACCTCGGTTATTTATTTTTAGAAAATTTTACCATGTACATTGTGTCCTCTGACATTTTTACCTAGATTCAGATTCTGGGTTTAAGAACCAGATTACCCTGCATTTTTCAATTTAACAATAGCAAAATAGTTAGGTATGAAATATTATATTAAACTCAAATTATTATAAGCTAGCTGATACCGCAAACTTCGTGGCCCGTACAAAACTCTTATAAAAATTGTAATTGTTCAACTCCTTTTTGGATGTAACTCGCTACAGTAAGTGAAAATCAGCCACCCAGGTAGGCAATATTCGAAAATTCGATTTGATAAGCATGCTTGTACCTGATCTACCTGCCCGATTAATCAATGGCAATCTGCAATAATAAATAAATACTATTTCTATTAATTATTTCTCTTATAACCATTAGCAACTATTTATAAACAAACATTTCCATCTTAATTCTCAAAATCCCTATTTGAGCACCTCCCTGGGCTCCTATTGGTCGTAGCGTGATGCTATATAGCCCATAGTCTTCATCGATAAATGTACTATCCAACACAAAAATAATTTTTCAATTCGAACAGTAGTTCCTGAGATTAGCGTGTTCAAACAATCAAACTCTTCAGCTTTATAGTATAGATTATTACAATTTTTTCAATAGCTATAAATTATAATACAGAATACTTATTATAATAATATAATAATAATGCTGTACTTGAAACCGATTTCGAATACCGGTTTAAACCGTTAAAAACCAAAATCGATACCGAAATAGAAAACAAAATTGAAAAAAACCCAATACCGGTAATCAAAATTGAAATCGATAAATATAAAAACATGTATTTAAACCCAAAAATGAAATCAGAAAAAATAAATACCGATATCCGAAACCGAAATCAAAATCGGAAAAAATATTTACGGTTTCAAGCCATAACCACCGCAGTAACAAATTCTATTGACGATTGTCGATTACATTTTTCTATTATTCCTATATGACGTGTGTATATGTCAGCTACACTATTTTTTAATATATATAAAATAGATATTGAGTTAAAATTATGTAATTTATGTAAATAATAATTTGTATCTGTACGTGAGGTAACTATTGTTTAGGGGGTAGGGGCTACGCGCCGTTCTCCCTAAGTTTTTTAAATCTATATTATGGGAAATCAAGTTTCCCCAAAAATGTGGGATATTTGCTAGTACCTATATCGTATACGCGTATATTTAACTATCGTATCTTTCCATTATTCCGTAATGGCGTAATCATATAATATTGCCACATTGTGCTAAATTCCAAAATGCGTCATTTAAAAAAAGTATAATTTTTATAATAATTATAATGCCTAGTCGCCTAGATATTATCTGTGTGGTTACTCTATGCGGTTATATACATATTTCGATTGTAATTTACTAGTAACACAATCCTGCCATTCTGGTATACGTCGATAACAGGACAATTAAAATAGTCGTTGATACATTTGTTATACTTATACCTTATAACTTATAAGTTATAATATATTTAATATTTATAATAGGTATATAGTCACTAGCCACTAGGTATCTATAACTATAATACTTTTAAATATTACCCATGATAATCCAAGGGGAATTTTTTATTTGAAATATTGTTAAGTTTATTTATTTGTATGGCCAAAGTATTTTTAGTTTACACACACATGTAATGGGAAAAGTATTTTTTATTTTTTAATATGAAATCTAGCTGATAAAAAGAAGCCACTCCCGAAGACACTTATTTAAATTTTTGCTTGATATACTGATAAACATAATATGAGTTATAAATTTGATAGTAGTTATATTATATTACACACTGATATACCTGCTGGCTGGGAGCAATATCTAGGAGCATAATATGTAAGAGGACTTTTGGAGCACTTAAAATACGGTCAATGAGGGGGGACTTCCTCCTACGAGTACGCCCATGTGTGTAATAGGTATTAATGCATTGTTTTATTCTAGTTTATTATCAATATACCTCAAGAATCCGGTTAGTGGATTTATGGATGTATTGTCTGTTGAATAGCTCTTCGTAGCTGTATTATGTATACCTACATATATTATATAATAGGATACCTATCATACCTATTGCATAGTGTCATTAGGTAGGTACCCATAAGTCATATAACAAAACATAATTAATCGATTATATTATATTGTTGTAAATAGTTATTACTCACTTTCAAGTCTGTAGTGCTTCAGCAAATTAGATGACAACATCTAATTTTTAAATTATATTATCCAAATGATTTTCAGAAATTTTTCAGAAAAATAGTTACAAACTGATCTTAATCTATTATCTATTACAGGTACGTTATTAATTATTATGCAATAATTTATTAAAATATGTATCAAATTAAATTTATATTTTCTAATTTGGACATCAATATAATAGATATAATTGTAAATTTATACAACAGTTGTGTGAAT